TGGGAGTTTCTCCTGATGGCGCGGCCAACAATCTGCCAAATCAAATTGGTAATTCACTTTGCGGCTGTTTGTGGCGCATCGCCCCGCGCTACTTTGACTCTTTCCTCTGAGTCAGAAGGTTGAGTGTTGAAACCCCATATTTGGACTTTAGGCTGAAACTCCATTGCAGTACTGGGGGATGTTAGTGCTGTTTGTAAAATTGTCTGCAGCTTTCTGCCACATATATCTGCTACCCTTCACAAATCCTGCACTTTATGAGATGTTTTGAGGACATGATGTCAAATGCAAAGATGATTATTATTAATAATGGTGTGGTATAAATATAATAATCCTTGCATTTGATACACTGCTTTTCAGGTCTCCGAGGCGTCTCACAGAATATACTGTAACGTGAACTGTCTTTATTTGTGGGTGAAATGTGGCAGCCAATTGCACACAGCAGTGTCCCACAATGAGTGAGTTTGAACACCACAGTCTGAGAATGTTGAGGTGCCAAGACTACATTAAGAGAACAGTTTGATTGATTTGCAACACTGGTATAAATGAAACCAATGGTTGGAAATTGATTTGAGTTCCGCTCAGAAATGGACCAGGAAGTTTCAAGGGAAATTTTTTGAATGTTGGTTAAGAGCTGCAGAACAGAACAGCACCCTTGTCTCAGCCTGCAAGCCCAAACTACTATTAATAATAATTTGGTCACGCAATCCACGACTGTTTGTGGGATCACTGCTGTGCGCAATTGGCTGCCGCGTTTCACCCACAAAACATACGGTCAATTCACTTTACGGTATATTTTCTGCAGCGCTTTGAGATGTCTCGAAGATGTGAAGGCGCTTTATCAAGTGCAAGGATTATTATTTGATTATTATTATTATAGAAACCAATATCCCAGCAATTAAATTGCTGAGAGAAATTGAAACGCAAGCAAGATATCTGGTAAATCAGTGCAGAGTGAGAAGGAACACATACAAACTGAACCCAGCTTGAGATCAGATGAAGTGATTTTTTTTATACACACTGTGGTGGGTTTGTGGAATAGATTCACAGTAAAATTAGCCACATGATGTCAACCAAAGCTGCTTCTAACCGAGCTGGATGGATATCTGGTTAGGAACGGGATTGGGAGCTCAGGGGATTAGCACAGCCAGATGTAATCAAATGTTCTATGTTGCTGAGTTACTGCAAATGTCAAGTCAAGGCAAACAGTCAAGGAGGAAAAACATCGGAAAGAAAATGTAGTTTTACAACGCCTTCTTACATCAAAACATCCCAAAGGGCGTTTTACTATTAATTGACTGTCAAGTGTAGTGACTATTTTTTGTTGGCAAACACAGCCGCCGTTTCAACAAGAGTCCCACAAACACCCGGAAGGTGTCACAGCCAAATGAGTTTCAAGTCCAAAACTAGAGCCATCACATAAGATAGCCTTAATAGATCTAATCAGGAGTTTAGGAGGAACTTCTTCACAGAGGTGGTGGTGAGAATTTGGAATTCACTGCTGGAAGCTGTGGTTGAAGTGAATAGGATCAACGTATTTAAGAGGAAACGTGATGCATAATAACAATAATAATCCTTTCATTTCATACAGTGCCTTATGTTGTCTTCCCAACGTCTCAAAGCACTTCACAATATACTGTAAAGTGAATTGACTGTATATTTTGTGGGTGAAACGTGGCAGCCAATTGCACATAGCAGCACACAGTCATGGATTGAGTGACCAATTTATTATTATTATTAATTTTTTTGAAGGAATTATTACCCCCGGAAAAGTGATCCGCCATCGACTAACAACCAGGTTCTTACTTACTGCTGGGTAAACAGGGGTGTGTGTGTGGAGTAAGGAAACTTGCGCAATGTTTTGCCCTACCCGGGATTCAAACCCAGGTTTCTCGCTTGCGAGGCGAGGGGTCTAACCATTGAGCTACAGGACTCCTGTACAGGACTCTCACTACAGGCATAAATGAGAGAGAAGGAAATAGAGGTGTATAGGAGAGGGGAATAAGAAGCAGGGGGGTAGGGGGGGACTTAAGTGGAGTATAAACACTGGTGTGGACTAGTTGGGCTGAATGGCCTGTTTCCGTGCCATATCACTCCATGTAACCTGAAGGACTATGGGCCAGAACATTGGGGAAAACTCTCTTCTCCATTTGAAAACTGCAACAACACAGGAACTTTAACATCCAGCCAAGGTCGGGGTTTATAGTCTCATTTGAAAGATGGCATATCTGGCAATGCAACAACCCATTACCACAGTCCTACACTGAAATATAAAAAAAAGTTTTTAAAACATTATTCTCAAACATGGGCAAGATTTTAACATTAACATCAATAATGTTTTATCTCCTCCCCTCCCCCCAATAATTGGAACGGTACAAGTTCTTTGAAATACGCTCTCAATTTGCAACCAGAAACAAACAGTATAACTTTTGTAAGGTTATGCGCTCAATTCCAAATGTCAGGTTTGAACCAGAACCTTCTGGTACAGAGCTGAGTGATACCAACTGAACCAAGCCAAGGTGTAAGGTTCTATTCAAGACGTAAGATTCTGCCAAAGAAGGTGGAGGTGGGGAACAGGGAAAAACTTTCTATCACACTCCTTGGGAGATTAGAGTTGGGTGGAGTTGAGTCCGTGATAGAACAGAATGTACATAGTGTGCGAGAGGGAACAAGATTGATGGTATTTTCTAGCTCCACAACATCACTTGTTCCTATTAATCTGTCACACTGGGCATTCAGAACACTGGGCAAAGTCCTGAAATTAAGAGTCTATTTACAGCTGCGTTGCTGCCTATTGCTCAGATAAGCGATTTTCACTGTTCTAAACCATGGAAAAATGTGGCACAGGTGATGATGATAATAATAAAAATTCTTGCATGTGATACAGTGCCTTATCACGTCTTCGAGACATCTCAAAGCGCTTCACAGGATATACTGTAAAGTGTATATTTTGCGGGCGAAACGCAGCAGCCGATTGCGTACAGCAGTGTCCCACAAACAGGCATGGATTGAGTGACTAATTTATTATTATTGCAACGTGTCTGGAGAAAAGCACCTGAATACCGTACGTCCAGCTCCCGGCTAGTCAGGAAACACTTCTTATCCCTGCAGTCAGCACACACAAATAATCAGGAGTTGACTGTATTTAGGAATTATGACTTTGTTGAGGAAAACAAACAGCAGCCTTTGTGCCAGAACTGAATAGCAACTACAGTACTTACACTAAATCCTTCATTCGGATGTCCTTAACCCCTGACTTCACTGGAAAACCGGCCAAAGTTTCCCAAAGTTGATTGATCACATCTCAGAATGCACGGTTTATTTACGAGGTTCTTCAATAAATCATGCAGTAGATGAGGTGCAGAGATTTCAAATCACCTCATATGTTTTTTCCACCCCACAAGTATATATATTTTTAATTAAATTTTTTTCCATCTATAAAATAGTCAATACAACAACAAAACCAATTTACATTTGTGCAGCACCTTTCACGTCAAGAGGATGTCCCAAACTACTTTACTATATATTCTATGAAGTGCTTTGAGACTGTCTCAACGACGTGATAAGGTGCTGTGTCAAATGCAAGGATTATTATTATTAAAAAAAAGTTTTTACAAGTATTATTCTCAAACACAGGCAAGAGTTTAACATCAAAATCAATAACCTTTTATCCCTTCCCTTCTCCACCCCCCAATAATTGGAATAGAACAAGTTCTTTGAAATATGCTCTCAATCAGAAACAAAACATTATCACTTTTAGAGTCACAATTATTATTGGTGGCTATTTTTTCACACACACACACACACACATATGCATCCAAAGCCAGAGACTGTGGAATCTGAAAAGGAAAGGTTAATGTAGTGTCCCCCAAAAGCCAATTTCATCCACATTCTTTGTAAACTTGGAGCAATGTTTACAACAACGAATTGAACTCCAAACAACCTCTTTTCATCATATCATTGTCAGCCTTCTGGCTTAACGTGAGTCACTGGGAAAAGGGACTAAATTTGTGGAAGTTTTTCATCTGTAACAAATTAGAACCTTTCAGCTTTCCCCACTCGTTAAAGTCAATACCAAGTAAAAATATATATATATAAAAATTGGGTTTACAACGTTTTATAAACCGTTCTCGTTTTACCAAAGATGGGAATGGGGGTGAGGGGACTTTGTACTAAAATAAGACACAGATGAGACAGAAATCTAAGCAGCAGTTTTCCCAACACTTGCAATCCTCTCACTGTCTCTCTCTCTCTAATGAACTAATGATTCATATTTTGGTGTCATTAGTGGAGAGCCCAAAGCTCTTTCTGGGTCAATAATCAAATCGTGTCCCCTTTTTCTTTTGGAGAGGGTTTCCACACTCCCAGGAAATTCACTCCACATTCATTCAACAGCTTCCAAAAGTCACCTTCTGTCACTTCCATTTCATCCATCCACCTCTTAATGAGTCTCTGTCTGTCTGAAGTCCTACTATCTCACTAGACTCAAAGCACCAAATATTTATTATATCCTGTTTAAAGAGAGAGGGGGAGAGAGAAAGAGAGAGAAGAGATTAAATCCTGTCTGCATTTTACTGACTATTCTAACTTTTTGAAATTTTATCGATTCCACTTCTTTTGTGTAATCGATTGAAACACAGAGAAAACCTAAAAAGTAACAAACAAACACACACACAGGATATCAAAAAAACAGAGAAATGCCAAAAAAAACTAACAAACACACACACACATACACACACAACAGGATATCAAAACCCACTCCTTAAAAAAAGTCATTTTGCAATGAAATCAGAGTTCTTCAAGCAAGCAGCTTAAACTTATTAAAGAATAACTAAAAGCAAAATAAAAGTGAATTGAATTCCTTCTCCACTCCCACCCACCAGAACCCCTTTCAAACAAAAAGTTTCTAAACACACACTCAATGTCAACCACAACAGCTGTTGAAATGTCAATTAATTTCTTTTTTTCTTCTTCTTCTTGGCCATTGATTTTAAAACACTTGCCTTTGGTAAATAAGATGGTAATGACACAGATTTCCAGCTGCAGCCAAACAGCGATGTAGTTGAGATGTCGATCCATTTACCAAGTCCTTCAGAAAGAAAGTTTCTCCCAAATGAACTTGCAGTTGTTTTTATCCTTGACAGCAGAGTCTCAATCTGCAGCAACACTCCCATGTAAACACCAGCCCTACTTTTATTCTCCAATTTTCCCCCTTCACTGTCTTCTCTCTCTCTCTCTCTCTCTCTCCCTCTCTCTATCTATCTCTTCCAAGACACTGACTGTTGTCTCTTCTCTCTCTCTCTCTATTATCTCGTTTCTGCCTCCCAAATATCTGGCTGACAGCCACACTAGCCACAGAGCTCCCAAGAGGAGGTTAGTGAAGAATGGAGCAAATCCATGGACAGGATGGGATGAGATGAAATGAGGCTGGACGATGGGAGGGTTCATCTACACACAACTAAGGCATCCTTCGAAGTCCTTGTAATGCAGCATCATTTCTCTCTCTTTCTCTCCTGTTCAGGATCTCTCTCTCTCTCCCTCTCTCCCCAAGGCTTCCTGGTGTGTTTGCTCACATTGCTCTTCTGCTCAGTCTCGCCCTCTCTCTTCCAAGGATCAACACTGTTGCAGTTCAGTCTGACACTCAAAACATCCTCAAGGCTGAATGCAACTCAATTCCTGGAATCATATCAGCTATAGTCAAACCTGTCTCTCTCTCTCTCCTTTCTCGGGAGAACTGGGCCAAAGTGGCCTTTATATAATAATAATAATTATGCTAATAATAATCCTTGCATTTGATACAGAGCCTTATCACATCTTCGAGACTTCTCAAAGCGCTTCACGGGATATACCGTAAAGTGTAGCGACTGTGTATTTTGTGGGTGAAATGCGGCAGCCAATTGCGCACAGCAGTGTATAACAGTGGACTCTGAGTGTGGGTTTGTTGCTGTTCCAACGCCTTGGGACGTCCTCCCGGTGTGAAAGGCACTTTTTGACCGTGCCTTCAGCCGCCCTCCAAACCTCTCTGCCCTTCCTCATCCCAACCCTGCCCCCCCACACTCAGGTCCTAATCCCTGACTGTTCAGTGCCTTGCGACATTCTCCTGACGTGAAAGGCAATTTACAAATGTAATTTTGTTGTTGTTGTATAAATGCCCACAAAACATACAACCAATCCACTTTACAATATACTCTGTGAAGCGCTTTGAGATGTCTCGAAGACTTGATAAGGCGCTATGCCAAATGCAAGGCTTATTATTATTATGATTAATTTGTTGTTATTGTTGTTTCAGGGTGGTTGTCAATAGGGGGTGGTTGCTGAATGGAAGTGGTTGCTTGAACAGTTTTAATAATAATAATTGCAATCCTTGCATTTGATCCAAGCGCTTAAGAAAGATTCGCTGTAAAGTAGAGTGACGATGTCATTTGTGGCGATAGGTTTGACTGTATACGCTGCTGTGTGCATTGGCTGCCGCGTTACACCGACAAAATACAGTCACTCCACTTTACAGTATGTCCTATGAAGCGCTTTGAGACGTCTCGAATGCAAGGATTATTATTATTACAGGAGACCTATGTTCAGCCAGCGTTTATTATAAGAGTAAAGTATAAAATTACAGACATATTTACTCCAGAAACCCTAGCTATGTAACTCTATCACAGACAACAGTGTAACCTGTGGGGTTTTTGCCTGTACAGCACCTGTAATATCACACAATAGAAGGGTGTAAATGTAGGAGTCCTAATGGATTCAGCCTCGCTTGGGTTATAATAATAATTGGAGCGCCTGAATATGTACTTATTTGTATGTGTGTATGGAGAAGGCTCTTCAATGTGATTAGGTGGGAGAAATGTAAATCCTGCTCTCAATTACTAATCACTGTATTGTTGGTAGCAACATCATTCTGCTTCCAACAGTGCCCAACACAGCTCACTTGTGGAGTCCTGTAGCATAGTAATTTGTGTGCTCGCCTCGTAAGTGAGAGGACCCGGGTTCGATTCCCAGGCAGGGCGAATCCTTAAGCAAGTTTCCTTATTCCACACACCTCTGTTCACCTAGCAGTAAGTAGGGACATAGTTGCTAGTCGATTGGTGGGGTAACAATTCCTCTTAAAAAAAATGTGGTCACTCAACCCGTGACTGTTTGTGTGATACTGCCGTGCGCATTTGGTGTGCCCACAAAATATACAGCCAATTTGCTTTAAGATATCTCGTGTGAAGCGCTTGAGTCTCTCAATGATGTCTTAAGGTGTTATATCAGATGCAAAGGTTGTAAGAAAGGTGCAGGAACAGATTTTGCTTTGCTTTACAATGCCAGACACCCAGGAAAGTCAGCTTCAGGGAGGAGAGTAAGCTCGGAATAAATATTACTGTTAAAATATTCAGGATTCTGATGAGGATTCAATCTCTCCCCCAATTCCCTTCATTCTTGTTCACTGAGTCATTTTAGCTGTAGAGGTTTGATATGGGAGCTATGTTTGTGCAGACTCCAGACACCATTCTTACAGTCCCAGATACTCAGCGTCTGCTCCCATATCACAAGCTGCTTAACGTCAATTACTTCTAAGGTCGGAGCAAAATCCCAGAGAGTTTACAGTCTGCGAAGATGATCCCTTGGCAGCAAAATGTAAGTGGACAGAAACCTCTGCCCGCGCTCCAGGGTTGTTAAGAAAAGGGTTGGAAAAATGATGGATGGGATAGCGGGAGTAAATTATGGACCAACTGAGATGTCGTTACCAAACTCTGGTGAAAGATGTGAACAGATGTCAATGTAAACCGTTCGCTCTCACTCCCCCCTCATCTCCTCCGCAATTAGATGGGACCAAGCTTCATTCTTCTAATCTAATCCAGCGACATTCGCACATGATGTAAGGTTGCAATGCAACCGACTGCAGACATCTGCTAGACAGGGAGTGCGTCAGCCTGGATCAGTGGGCAACACTCTCACCTCGGAGTCAGAAGGTTGTGAGTTCAAGTCACACATAAGGATTCTAAACTCATAGTTTACTGGCTGATGCTCCAGTGCAATACTGGGGGAGTGCTGCATTGTCACAGGTGCTGTGCTGTTAACTAAGACATTTCCCTGTTCAAGTGGATGTTAAAGATGTTTAATAATAATAACAATAATCCTTAGATTTGATGTAGAACCTTACCACGTAATCGAGAAATCTCAAAGCACTTCACTGTAAAGTGAATTGACTGTATATTTTGTGGTTTGAAAAGAGAATGGAGTTTCTCCCTGTGTCCTGGCCAACTAATGTCCCCAAATCCCCCCAAATAGTGACATTTCACCTACAAAATATACAGTCAATCCACTTCATAGTATATCCTGTGAAGAGCTTTGAGACGTCTCAATGACGTGATAAGGCGCTACATCAAATACAAGGATTAAAAATTATGATTAGTTTTATGATTACGAGGATTAAATTAATAATAATAATAATAATAATCGCATTTGATATAGCGCTTTTCACGTCGGGAGGACGTCCCAAAGCGCTTCACAGAACACACTGTAAAGTGAATTGACTGTATATTTGTGGGCGAACGCGGCAGCCAATTGCGCACAGCAATGTCCCACAAACAGTCGTAGATTGAAAATGACCAATTTATTATTGTTTTGTTTTTTGGAGGGATTATTATTAGGCTCTGTGTGGAGTAAGGAAACTTGCCCAAGGTTTCGCCCTCTGCCTGGAATTGAACTCAGGTCTCTCACTTGCAAAGCGAGTGCTCTAACCACTGAGCTACAGGACTCCAAATTGGGGAGAGGGGACATGAAAAAATCTACAGTAACAATGTTAAAGCTCCCACTCCCACTTTGTTTTTGAACGCTGCCAGAGGCGAGGAGCTATGTGCAGTCTGTCGAGGAATGAAAAACTCGAGCCAGACAGATCCAGTCAACGGTTTCAGAATAAGGTTCACTTTGAGTAACCTCAGTGGTGCAATTTGTCTCAAGGTGTCGCTGAGTTCCCACTGTGGAGGCCATTCACAATGATGTATGTTGCAGAGAGAGAGAGAGAGACAACCTCATTCTGACTGGCCCCCCAACATCAGCAAAGACCTGTAACACTACACTGTTACTGACGGGTATTCGGCAGCAAGATTACAGGGAGTCTCTACGTCTACATGTCATTTTGCTTAACAGCAAAGAAACTAATTAACTTTGAAACATTTAGTTGCTTCCCTGCACTTTTAACACACCCACATTACAATAACTTCGGCAAGCTTAAGCGACCTAGGACGTTTTACTTACTTGAGTTATTCCTAAACGCACCAAAATAATTTGGATGCCTCGGAGTCAGAAGGTTGTGGGTTAAAGTTTCACGTCCGGAATTTGATTTCAGATTCCAGTGCCGTACTGGGGCAGTTACACCGAATTGTCCTTCGGATGAGACGTTAAACCGAGGTCCCATCTGTGCCCTTCTCAGGTGGACGTTAAAGATCCCGGGGCTCTATTCGAGTTTCTCTCTCCCGGTGTCCTGGCCAACAATTCCCTCCCCCCCCCAGATAAAATCGGTCACTCACTCAATCCACGTGGGACATTTTAGTGTGCAGATTGGCCGCCGTATTCATCCACAAATACACAGTCACTACACGTCAGGGTAAAAATCTTGTGAACCGCTTTCAGGATTTCCCACAATGTGATAAGGCGCTGTACCGAGGATGAGTAAATTGTACGCATCTGTGATACTAAATGTCTGACAGAGCTGGAAATTCCCAGTTGAAACCACGAGAGGGGGCTATTTATTAGCTTTGAGGGAGAACAAGTGCACAGTAATTGTGGAGCTCAACATGAGTAATGCTGGTACTCCAATCCTTTAACGGCTTCTGACTCTATTTTGTCACTGCATCTGGGACCTGTTCCCCATCTCTTCCCTACTCCAACGAACCCTCCTTGTCTTTTACAAGGTTTCCCGTCAGCCCCATTTGGCCCATCATGTGTGTGTTCGCTAATAATAATCCTTGTATTTGACACAGCGCCTTATCACATCTTCGAGACGTCTCAAAGCGCTTCACAGGATATACTGTCAAGTGAACTGACTCTATATTTTGTGGGCGAAACATCACTCTCTGAGGGAGGTTGGCAGGTTTTAATATTAATTTGTTGGTACTTGGAGGCTGTTAATCCCTAGCCAGTAGGAACCAGGCTGACTGTGGAGTTATCTCACACAAGGCTTGAGATATTCCCCCTTATAGGAATGGAAACATAGGAACAGAAGTAGGCCATTCAGCCCCTCGAGCCTGTTCTGCCATTGCCTTAATTCTTGGCTCATCTGTATCTCAACTCCAATTACTTACCTGTGCCCCATCTCCCTTGATGCCCTTTTACCAAACAAAAATCTATCCACCTCAGTCTTGAAAAATTTAAATGGATCCATCATCTACAATATTTTGGGGGAAGAGAGTTCCAGAATTCTACTACCCTTTGCCGTGAAAAGTGTTGTGTTTTCTGGCTGCTTTCGCTCTGCTGTGCTCACCCTGGAAATGCAACATATTCCTGCACAGCGTGATAAAAGGTGTCATCCTCAAACCCCCAGTCCGCACACACACACACACACACAGGGAGGGTGAGCACGTCAAGCACAAGTGGAGTTTAA